GTGTATATTTCCATCCCGGATCATTATTAGAGAATCCTGCCATTCACGAAATGTACACACAGAACACATACATACGTACATATACATACAGAAATACATAAATACATACATTGCAAAAGAAGAAGAATAAGAAAGAGATAGATAGATAGAGAGATAGAAAGAAAAAAATATAAGTGAAAGTGGCTTGTCTGCTTTAATATGGAACGTGTGTGTTCCATTGTTTTTTTTTTTTGGTTTCGCAGCCACTTCCAAAATAAAAAGAAAAAAGAAGGAAAAAGAGGAGGGAAATAATAATAAATATTCGTTAGCGTCTTATTAACTGTTCCCTTTGAGAAACTTATCCACATCGTTTTTTTTTTTTTTTTCATTTTTATTGTGACTTCCAAATAAGTAAATGATTAATTAAATAAATGAATGGTTCTCTATTCTTTATTGTTGTGATGATAATAATAATAATAGCCGGGTGTGTGTGGGCACATCATCGCAGTCGATGGCTCATTCAGCCGTTACTTCGCTACTGCTCACAACAGCAGCACAACAGGAAAGAACACACAATAAAGAAAAGAAAAAAGGAAAAGAATAAAGAGAAGCTAAACGTCAACATTAAAGGACTTAAATAAAAAAAAAAAGGGAAAAAGAATATATATATATATATATATATATATATATTAATATGTAAAAAAAAAAAAAAAGAATACACGCACAGAGAAAGAGAAAGAGAGAGTCGGTGTTGAAGAGAAAGCGGGGAAATCCACAAGTGTCTGTCTCTCTGTGTGTGTGTGAGCGATCGGTACAAATGGACAAAGAAGAAAATAATGAAGAAGAAAGAAGAAAAAAATAAATAAATAAATAAATAAAAGACAATTGAGAGAAATAGGAGAATATGTATGGGAATGATTAGATCGCAAGAGATATAGACGGAAAGAGTATAAAATAAACGAAATTATTATCATAAGATGATATCAAAAGAAAGAAATAAAGAGAAAGAAATAGAGAGAAAAAGAGAGAGTTTATTCATTACAGTTGAGGTAAGGAATTGGGGAAAGGAAATACGGTGTGCGGGTAAAAAATGAAAAAAAAAAAAATAGATGAACTAAATGAATGTATATAAATCTCTTTCTCTCTCTTTCTCTTTCTTTTCTTTTATTTATTTATTTATTAATTTTCTTTTCGTTCGTTAATTCGTTAATCCGCCCATTAAAATTCGTTCGTTCTTTTTATTTTATTTTTCTTTTCTTTTCTTTTCTTTTCTCTTTTCTTTTCTAACCCTCGTGAGGTATTTACGGCGGCATGTCTTTTCTTTTTTATGGGTGTCCGTAAAGTGTGTGCGGGGGTCGGACGTTAGACTAATAAAATAAGTAGAGAGATCTACTGTCTGTTTTTTTTTCTTTTTTTCTTTTTTCTTTACTTATTCCTATTCCCAACTGTTCTTTTTTTTTTTCTTCTTTTTATTATTCCTATTATCATTATCATTATTTTTATTATTTTTATTATTATTATTATCATTTCTGCCTTGCACACTATATAAGAGTAGAGTTATGTATCTACTAGCCTTTTTTTTTTTCGCTTCTTCATTTTGGTGTTGACTTTTTTTTTTTTGCATTGCTTCTATTGTGAAAAAAAAAAAAGAAAAAAGAAAAGGGGAGAAATAAATAAAAAAAAAAAAACTATTGGTTTTATTTTTATTTTGACCCGCGTACACCTTGTGTGTTGACTCTTGTCATCATTGTTTTTCTTTTTATTTCCATGTGAATTACATTATTATCATCCCTTTTGATTACCCCTTTTTCTATCTATTTATCTATCTATATGTATTTTTATGTAAACATCTCTCTCTCTCTCTATATATATATATATCTATCTATCTATTTATCTCTCTCTCTCTCTATCTATGCATGTATGTACATGAATGTGTGTAGAAGTGTAATTGATGTGTGAGATTGAGACTAGAGGGACTCATCTCAGTTTTCCGTTCACTTGTACACATACAAGTACACATACATACATATATATATATATATACAAGGATCAAAAGAGAATGAGATGGGGGAGAAAGAAAAGAGGAGAGAAGCGAGCGAGTGATCGGTTTTCTTTTTTGTTTCCTGAAAAGAAACGAGAGGAAAAAAGAAAAAAGAATGCACAAATTATTTATTCCTGTTTGATTATGTTGCTCCGTAGTTTATTTGTCTATTTATCTATATTTATTACTGTATCTATCTATCTATCTATTTCTACATCTCTTAACGGACGGGGTAGGGAAGAGTGGTGGTCAAGCGCGTACGCAATCGTTAAGAAGAAAGAGAAAGAGGAGGAGAAAGAAGAGTTTAGAGATAAAATTTTCTTTTTTGTTTTTCTATATATTTTCCTGCGTTGGTTTATATTTATATTCTTTTCATGTTTTCTTTTCCTTTCCTAGAGTGTTATTTGATTTTTTTCATTTCTTCTTAATTTGCCAATGTGCCCCAGTTGTGAAGGGCAGACACACACTGGGTGGATGGGGGGTAAATCTGTACAAGGGCAAACAAGAGAATTTGTGCTTTTTTTTTTCTTTTTTTTTTTTTTGTTTTTCTACTGGCACTCTCTTTCTCTGTTGATATCTTTCTCTTTACTTTTTATTATCATTACTGGTTTTTTTCCCCCTCTTTGTTTTTATTCCTTTTCTTTTTTTTTTATATTTTTCGTGTCAGGAGTGTTATTTCTTCTTTTTTCTTTCCCGTTTGTTATTACTGTTTCTTATTCCTATGTGTACACGCACATTCAAGCTCTCTCTATCTCTCTCTCACACACACACACGTGGGAAACTCTGGGGGAAAAGGAGATAAGGGCGTTAAAACACTTTATTGGTTGATTCTGCAAAAAAAAAAAATAAGAATTTCTCTCTCTCTCTCTCTCTCTATATATATATATATATATATATATATATTTCTCTGTTTTTCTTGTTGTTGTGGTTCATCATGATATATTTACCTTCTTTTTCTTTCTTCTCTTTTTCTTCTTTTTTTGTTTTCTAATTAGATAGTGAAGAGGCAGCATATTAGCGGCAGCACATTGGTCGCACATATATATATATATATATTTCGTTTCATTCGTATTTGTGTTTCGTTTTCATTTTTTTTCTATCTTTTTTTGCTTCCCTCTTCGTTGAGTTACCGCTACTAACAATCATACGACTCATAGTATTGGTACGAACCTAACCATAGTCATATTGCCGTAGCCATTGTATTATTATTATTATTATTATTATTATTATTCATTGTTATTGTTATTATTATTACTATTATTATTGCTGGGAAATATTGGATTAGCCTCAAAAGATGCCATCCACAGGAGTCAGTAAGGAATTAGTGCACTTCTCGCAGGATTTTCTCTACTTCCCTCTTCCCCTCACGGATGTGACGATTGAGAATATTGTCCAGCTGCGGAGTTTACTCCCACGTACAGGGAATAATGGAGAGAATGTCATTGCGTTTAAAGTACTCTGCAGTGTACGCAATCGATATAGTGTACGTCCATCTACTGGATTTATTCTCCCAGGCGAAAGTGTCAATATTAAATTTCTCTTGGATGCCCAACAACTTCGACGGAATGCCGCGAATAACAAAGATGGCAGTGCGGCGAATGCCTTACCTGATGTAAATACACACGATGATATTGTGGTGGACCTCGTGGTGGTGCCAAGAGATCAGGCCATTATGTACCTCCAGCGCCAACAGAATAATAATAATAATAATTCAAAGGGAAACACAAAGGAAAGTAATAATAAGGCGAATAATAATAATAATAATAACAGTAATAACAATAATGTCAGCAACAGCAACAACAGCCATAGTTACATGAACAGCAACAATACACCAGTGTGTGTGGAGGAGGCCGCCACCTTCTGGAAGGAACGTGGACAAGTCCGTGCAGATGATATCCAAGCCACTCGCCGAAAACTACGTTGTGTATATGGAGAGAAGAATGTGCCGGATTCCCTCGTAATGCGGTTTAGCACAGAGAAGTTGGTAAGTTCAGAAGAGACCCCCGTTATCAACACACCGCGGAGGAGCAGCAACAATCACAACAATCACAACAACGTCAATATTGACTCTCTCCTACTTCCACCCACAGTTCCCCGCACACGTCCACACACCAATCACATGGATCTACACAGACGAACGGCACCATCCGCCCCGCCGCGGTCCTCCCCCTCAGCGTCTCTCTCCAATCGCGAGAAAACACCCAGCTCGGTGGGACCCTCCTCGCCATCAAAGAGTGTGGGAATGAATAATTCTCAAGCCGCTGCAGTGGGAAGAACTGCAGGGTCGCCATTTGCGCCACGCATGGATGGTGGGAGTAACAATTATAATACTATTACTAATACTAATACTACGACGACTACGACGACTGCTAGTAATAATAATAATTTGTTTATGTCAATTGGGAGTGGAAAGGAAGATAAGGAGGATTCGTTTTGGCATAAGTATTTGTATTACAAAATACCGTACCCTATGCTGGGAGTTCTACTGGTCCTCTCGTTCCTGTGTGCATTGTTTGAGCGTGGAACACTATTGAGTTGGCTCTTGATTGGGCAATAGAAGAGAAAAAGAGAAAAAAAAGAGAAAGAAAAAAAGTGAGGGGTGGGTGGGGGGAGAGTGAGAGATCAAAAAAAAAAAAAAAAAAAAAAAAAAAA